GGGGGCATTTGTTAAAAAAAGGGAAGAAAACTCCTCTCACAGATGGTTGGTTGGTGGGTGCTCTGGTGTGGTTTGCTCCTTTTTTCCTATGAAAAATCTCTCTATCGTCTCTATTTCCCCTCCTTCTGTTTTTGTGTTTGTCACTCTATTGTTACACCTTTAATCTTCGGCACTTATATATATATGACCTTATTATGTTGCAAGTGCCGTAAAACTCTTACTAAAACGAAAACATCTACCGTCCTTATTTCTCCTCCTCCTTTTTTGTGTATGTTCTTCTCATGTAACACATAATCTATTCTTCAGCACTTGTCTGACCTTATTGTGTTGCAAGTGCCGTAACACTCTTACTCTAAAACGAAGAACTAACGTGTCTTTTCTGTTTCTTCTCTTTGCGCAGCCTCTCGCCTCGGCCGTCGTCCCAAACGCCTGAAGGAAGTGAGCGGCGAACAGACCCGGACACACACCACCAACCTCCCTATCGCACCGTACCCCTCTCCACAGGAACTCTACCGACTCAGAATGGCTGAACTTCAGAAGTTGCTGCAAGCCAACGGAACTTTCAAATCGGAACTGATGCAGGTGAGAATTGCTTGGGTTTTGTTGTTGTTTTGTTTTGTTTTTTTCATGTGTTTTTCTCCTAGCAAAAGGTGATTGGGTGACAAGGGACGATGATGATGATGAGGTGGTTTTGTGGGAGGGGGGTGGGGGTGGGGATGGGAGTTTCTTCTAGCTAGGTGGTTGGGTCAGGTCAGAAAGGCAATGATGATGGTGAGATTGTTGTTGGGTTGTGTTGTTTTTTTTTTGGGGGGGGGGGCACTGATAGGTCATGCTTCTTTCCTTTTCTTTCCCTCTTTTTGTTTCTTTCAATCTGTTAAATTGCTTTCTCCTCGCAGGAAATGATTGTTATTGTGCTATTGTGCTTCTTCTTTATCCCAACAAACAAGACAGCAATATCTTTTGTCGTGCTACAGCAACTATATATTATATGTGTGGCTGGTTTGCTCCTTCTTTCCTATCAAACATCTAGCAACTGTGTGTGGGTGGTTTGCTCCTTCCCTTCTTTCCTAGCAAACATCTAGCAACTATGTGTGGGTGGTTTGCTCCTTCCCTTCTTTCCTAGCAAACATCTAGCAACTATGTGTGGGTGGTTTGCTCCTTCTTTCCTAGCAAACATCTATCGTCTTTATCTCCCCTCCTTCTTTTCTGTGTATGTTACTCCTTTGTAACACATCTATTCTTCGGCACTTCTATAACCTTATTGTGTTGCAAGTGCTGTAAAACTCTTTATTACAACTAAACTAAAAGTACTAACTTCTTTTATCTTTTCTTTTCCTCTCTTCTTTTATCTTATCTTTTCCTCTCTTTTTTTATCTTATCTTTTCCTCTCTTTTTTATCTTTTCTTTTCCTCTCTTTTTATCTTTTCTTTTCCCCTCTTCTTTTATCTTTTCTTATCTTTTCCTCTCTTCTTTTATCTTTTCTTTTCGTCTCTTCTTTCATCTTCTCTTGACTCATTTCATCTCGACTCTCATCTCTTCTTAAACCCTCCCTCCCTCCCTCCCTCCCCCAGGCCTTCCTGTCGGCGGCCCAGCAAAGTTTCCGCGAGCACTCCAAGTCTGGTGGCGGCTCCTCCTCCTCCCACTCCTCCCACCACCACAACGTGTCCGCCCCGAGCTCGTCCATCACCAGCGGCGGTGGTGGCGGCATCACGGCGCCCGTGTCCACCCCGTCCCTACCCCAGGATGTGAACCTCAACCCTGACCCCTCCATGCTGGGCTCTAAGAGCTTCGGCATGGGCCTTGACCTGCCCAATGTGGGCAGCCCGTCCTCCATGCAGGCCCCCTCGCCCTTCCCCGACCTGAGCATGGCCGACTTCTCGCCCCTGACGCCGGGCGGCACCAACCTGAACACCAGCGACATCTTCGACAACAAGATGTTCATTGGCCAGGGAGCCAACATGAACGGAAACACAGGTGAGTTGATGGATGGATGGGGGATTTGTGGCACGTTTTTTTTCCGAATATAAATTATGTGAGGCGTTGTGGTGAAATCAGGCGCTCGTCAAAATAAGGAAATTGGTGAAATTTTTCCCCAGTTTGGCAAATTTTATCAAATTATTTTGGTTTTGGCTTAACTTCTTTTGTGTCCATAAAAAAACATTTCCATTTGAACTTTACTGAAAAATGTGCACCTTCATTATGTGACCGTTATTGGGTCGATGTGCTCGTATTGACTCAAAACTCAAACTTCAAACTCAACGTTGCTCCCCGTGGGTGGTCGGCAGGTGTTCTGGTGTGGTTTGCTCCTTCTTTCCTATCAAACATCTATCGTCCTTATCTCTTCTCCTTTTTCTTTTTTGTGTATGTTACTCTCTTGTAACACCTCTATTCTTCGGCACTTTTATGACCTTATTGTGTTGCAAGGCCTTAACACTCTTACTAAAACTAAGTCTTCCCTTCATTATGTGACCGTTATTAGGTCGATGTTCACGTCTTTACGTAAAAAACTCAAACTTAAACTCATCGTTGTTGCCCCTCCCTCCCTCCCTCCTCCCTCCCCCACCCCTCCCACAGTGTTTTCCCCCAGCACGCAGCCCCTCAATGACAACATGCCTTCACCGCTGAACATGCCTCCGCTGGACAACCTTGACCCCTGCTCCCCGTCGACCTTCATGGCCTTCAACACAAACCAGATGGCCTCCCCCGACTCGTCGTCGTCAGCCAATAAGGAGCCGGCCGTCAACAACAACCTCAACAACAACGCCGGCACCAGCACCAGCATGTATGGGCTGGGAGGGGCTGCACCGGACAACATGAGCCGCCTCAATATCAACACAAATTTGATGTCGCCCATGTCACCCCTCTTGTCGCCCACCGCCATCAAGCAAGAGGTGAGCGCACAGTTCTGTCTTTCTGTCTTTATTTCTTTCCTTCTTTCTTTCTGTCAGTCTCTATTTTTTCTTTGAACTTCTTGATTTCTTGAGTTCTTTCTGTCTTTCTTTCTTTCCTTTCATTTTTGATTTATATATATCTCTCTCTCTATTCTCTCTCTCTCTCTATTCTCTCTCTCTCCCTCTCTCCCTCTCTGTCTCTCTGTCTCTCTCTCTCTCTCTCTCTCTCTGTCTCTGTCTCTCTCTTTCTCTTTCTCTCGCACACACACACACACACACACACACACACACACACACACACACACACACACACACACACACACACTCAGAGAAAGAGCGGCCATAACCCTCCCCCTGCGTCGTTGTTTCAGGTGGACTCCAACATCGCCAACGCCAACATCCTGATCAAGGAAGAGCCGATCGAGGAAGGCCTGGAGCTGATCAACACACCTGAGAACATGGCCGAGGTCAAACGCATCATGGGAGAGGTGAGGGCTAGCTAGCGTTTGTCCGGCTACTCCTCCTCCTCCTCCTTGACATCCGACCCCCCTCTGTGGGTGATTGGCGGGTGTTCTGGTGTGGTTGTTTGTTCCCTCTCTCTCCTGTCAAGCATCGATCTTCCCTATCTCCCTCCTCCTTCTTTCCTAGAAAACGTCTATCGTCCTTATCTCCCTCTATCGTCCTTATCTCCCTCCTCCTTTTTTCCTATAAAACGTCTATCGTCCTTATCTCCCTCCTCCTTCTTTCCTAGAAAACGTCTATCGTCTTTATCTTTCCTCCTTCTTTTTTTGAGTTTGTTACTCTCTTGTAACACCTCTAATCTTCTGCACTTATATATGACTTTATTGTGTTGCAAGTGCGTAAAACTCTTACTGAAAAAAAAAGTGGTTCTTGAATCATTGTCTTATCCTTTTATTCTTTCTCTGTGTGACAGGTTCATGAACCTCGCATCTTTTACCGTGGGTGGTTGGCGGGTGCTCTGGTGTGGTTCGCTCCTTCTTTCCTATCAAACGTCTATCGTCCTTATCCCCCCCTTCTTCTTTTTTATGTTTGTTACTCTCTTGTAACCCCTCTAATCTTCTGGCGCTCATATGACTTTATGCAGTTGCGAGCGCAGTAAAACCTCTACTAAAACTTTAAAAGTTAAAGGTTCGTGAATCTCCCATCTTTTACCTTTCTGTTCTGTTTGTTTGAAAGGTTCTTGGTCTATTGTCTTATCCTTTTATTCTCTCTCTCTCTTCGTGAGAGGTTCGCGAACCGCCATCTTTTACCTTTATTCTTTCTGGCTCGATAACAGCGTAACAACAACCTTTCTTCTCTGTGTTTGTTTGACAGGTTCGCGAACCTCCCTCCACTGACCGGCTGCTCCTCATCGACCAAGTGACCGACGCGATCATCGACGCCCACATGGCCACCACGGTCGGCACCAGGGCCAAGGTCAATGAAGCCTTCGACAGAATTTCTACCGATAAAGGCTGCCCGGACATGGTAAGTCACGGATTGCTCTCTGTGGAAAGTTGTTCCACATTTGTACCCGCCCCATTTGGTCATTCAGTATTTGGTCATCCAATTCTTGGTCAACCAATATTTGATCATCCAATTCTTGGTCAACCAATATTTGATCATCCAATTCTTGGTCAACCAATATTTGATCATCCAATTCTTGATCAACCAATATTTGATCATCCAATTCTTGGTCAACCAATACTCTGTCCCCCTGGATAATTCAGCAAAATTTGATCATTTTTGGGGCATAGTTTCTGATTATTTGCCTTTATCTTTCTTTGTTTAAATTAACAGAATCGCACAATTTCACATTTTTGGGCTCAGTTTGCATAATTTCCGAATTTTTCTTGCATAAAACGACAGGGAGAGAATATTTGATCTTTTAATTCTTGGTCATTCAATTTTTGATATTTTTGATCATCGAATTTTTGATATTTTTGATCATCCAATTTTTGATCATCCCAAACTTCCTGAGGACTTTGCTCCCATGTCACCTATTTTCTTTGTTCCAAACACCAAACTGAGTAGTAATGAAAGAAACACCCTTTATTGTGTTGCAAGTGCTGTAAAGCTTACTTAACGACCAAACTTTAACTGTTATTGTTCGTCGTGTCCCCAGCCCGACATCTCGTCCCTGACGGTGAGCGTGTCGTTGATATGGCAGAAGTTCCTCTCCTCCATGGTGCCTGAGATCTCCAAGGTGGTCAAGTTTGGCAAGAAGTTGCCAGGATTTGTGGAGGTGAGAGGAGCAGACATTATGTGTGTTTGTGGGTGTGTGTGTGCGTTCGTGAGTGTGTACGTGTGGTGTATGTGTGAGGGCTTGTGGTTTACTCTAATTTTTGAAGTCCAGGACTCTTTTCTTTCTTTCTTTGTTTTCTTTTTTTTCTTTATTTCTTTCTTTCTTTTCTTTCTTTCTTTCTTTCTTTCTTTCTTCTGTTTTTCCCCGGGTTTTTAAAAAATTGTAACACCTCTTCCATCTTTCTTTCTTTCTTGTTTTTCAATCCCATGTCCATTTTGCTACTGTGCTCAGGGCATTATTTCCTCAGTAAAGTAACATTTGTTGGTGGTTGGCGAGAGCTCTGGTGTGGTCTGCTCCTTCTTCCTGATCTCTCCTCCTTTTTTTGTGTGTTTGTTACTCTCTTGTAACAGCCCTAATCTTCGGCACTTATACGACCTTATTGTGTTTGCAAGTGCCGTAAAACTCTTACTAAAACTAAAAAACTGTCTCCCCTCCTTTTTCTTTGTTTTTGTTACTTTCTTGTAACACCTCTAATCTTCGGCACGTATATGATTTTCATCATCATCATCCGGTGCCTTGCCGACTGGCGTGGGCGACCATGGACCTCCACTTCACTCTGTCTTGCGCTGCAGCAATGGTGTCTGTTGTTCTTGCTGCTCCCAACCATGTTGTCATCTTGTCCAGTATCTTTTCCCTCTGTCTGCCTCTGCCTCTCTTTCCATCAAACTTGCCTGTTGTGACTGTATATGATTTTACTGTGTTGCAAATGCTGTAAAACACTTACTAAAACTACAACGCATCTCCCAGGTGGGCCAAGAGGACCAGATCCGCCTGATCAAACAAGGCAGCTTCGAGGTCATGCTGGTCCGGCACTCCATCCTCGTGGACCCCATTAATGAGACCATGCTGGACCCATCCTTGTCGGTCGCTTCGCCCAGGTCAGTCGCCTTTTTTTTTTCTTTTTTGTTGTTGTTGTTGTTGTCTTTTAAGATTGTTGTGATCATCATCATTTGCCTTTCTCACACTGCGGATTGCTTCTTCTTTCCTATCAAACATCTATTCGTCCATATCTCTCTTTTTTTTTTGTTACTCTCTTGTGAGACCTCTAGTCTTCGGCTCTTATATGACCTTATTGTGTTGCAAGTGCCGTAAAACACTAACTAAAACTTTTTTTAAATCACCCTGCACCAGGGTATAGGCTACGGACAAACACCGGCCACCCGTATAAGACATTCACCCGTACAAAGGGCCACTTCCTGTTTCTTCTCTTGCGTAGTGACACTGTGCAAGATGTCCGTCTGTCTAAGACAAACCGTGGGTGGTTGGCGGGTGCTCTGGTGTGGTTTGCTTCTTCTTTCCTATCAAACATATATCGTCCTTATCTCCCCCTCCTTCTGTTTTATGTTTGTTACTCTCTTTTAACACCTCTAATCTTCTGGCGCTCATATGACCTTATGCAGTTGGGAGCGCCGTAAAACTTGTACTAAGACTAAAACTAAGACAAAAACCCTTTTCTCCTCCACTATGGGTGGCCATGTTAGTTGGGCAATTTCGACTGTACTCTTAAACTGTATCAATATGGGTGGTTGGCGGGGTGCTCTGGTATGGTTTGCTCCTTCCTTCCTATCAAACAACTATCTTCTTTGTCTCTCCTTCTTTTTATGTTTGTTACCCTCTTGTGACACCTCTAGTCTTCGGCAGGTATATAATGACCTTTTTGGGTTGCAAGTGCCGTAAAGCTCTTACAAAAACAAAACTGTATCGATGGTCAGTTAAATGAAATTTCCTCGTTGTTGTTGTTGCAGACAAGTGATCAAATCTCTGCCCATGGGACAGTTCTTGGACGAGTTTTTCATGATTGCCCGACACATCCACCCGCTGAATTTGAGCGACGGAGAATTGGCAATGCTGGGAGCCATCCTCCTCATCTGCCCAGGTAAGAAAAACATCGCAGAAAAAGACCTCGTCAAATGGCAGACGAAATGGCATAATTATTTACCAATTATTTTATTGTAGGTTATTCCTTTTGGAGTTTGTGGGAAATATGTCGGATGCTGCTCTTTGTTGTGAGAATGTTTGTGAAACAGGGCATGTTAGGAAATTTTTAAAAATTATGAATTTTTAACTTTTGACTTGTTCTAAACTTGACATGAAAAAGGCAGTGTCACCCTGTGTTGTCTTACTAAGATTTAATATATTTTCTGTTATTTTTTTGTCTTGTCGTTCAATTTAGTACTTTAGTACTACTCGTTTTGACACAAGAAGTTGACACGTGTGCGTTGTGGTGTGTTTGTGTTTCAGGTCGCAACAACCTGACCAATGTGCTTGCCATCCGCACCATCCAGCAGTTGTACCAGCAGGCACTGTTCCGCTTGATGAAGCACACACACAAAGGTGAGTACCTCTTCCTCCTTGTGTCCTGTTGCGTGTGTGCTCACACATGTAAGAAAAGACCAGATAAGAGAAGATAAGATACATCTTTATTGTCTAGATTCTGGCACATTGGTTTGGTGTTTCACCACTTACGCACACACACTCCCGCGCACACGCCCGCACACACACGCACACAAACGTGCACACACAAACATGCATACACACGCAGGCTTACGATCACATGCTTAATATAAATGAGCAGCAATATAAACAATAATTATCTTAAGCTAGATCAATCTATACATACTCAATTTTATTTTGATGCATGCTCTAAGGTCATATGAATACTTATAACAAGATGGTTAAGATGGAAGAATTTGATAAATGTAAAAAGTAAAAGACCTAGGCTTCTGGTCTGTAAGAAAGAAGCCCTCAGGACTCATGTCATAATAGTAGTTCATCTGTCAATGTCTGACGAGGACCAATGTATCTGCGGAGGAGAATATTTCTTACAGAAGAAAAAATTAGGAGAAATAAGTATTAATATGATTTGTGGTTTCTGCTTCGGCATTACACAAGCCAAACACCTAATGAGTAAACGTTTGCCTGTTGTTCCCCCAGACTACGAGGAGAGGTTCCAGAACCTTATGAGCCTGGTCCCGCTGTTCCAGAAAGTGAACAGCGACCACTCCAAGTTCCTCAACAGCATCAAGATGAAGTCGCCCGCAGAGTTCGACCAGCAGTTCCCAGCCCTGCATAAAGAAGTTTTTCAAGATTGTTAAGTGATAACTGATTCTGTAACAAGTGTAGTATTTCATGGTGTATGGAGGTACTCTGGCCTTAAGTCATTCATATCCTCTTCCCAATATCCCTGTCCAAAACGAAAAAAATGGAGAACCAATGGGTTGGGGCGTGGATGAAACAAACGCGAAGGTTGACCAGTGCGAGCTGTCTGTCGAAGGACAGAGACTGTACCTTGCATGGGCGTGTCGTGGGGACAAAGTTAGCCATTCCACTAACAACTGCCAGGTGTGTGGGTCGTCACACGTCGGAGTGTGTGCGTCGATACCCAACTGTGTGTTGGTCACCGCATGTCTGTGAGTGTTTGTCACTGCGCGTCAGTGTGTGTGGGTCGTCACATCATGTCTGTGTGAGCTCCTCACTGACTGCTGCTGTCACTCACAAGTGATGCTCGGTGTGAATGGCGCCGCCGGGATGCTGCTTCGATGAAAGCGGTTCAAAATTCTGCCCGGCTGTGTGGTGAAAATGTCTGTCCACATGATGCGAGTTTGCCGTTGATCAGACGCTGCGCCCTGTCTGGGTATTGTCGGAACGGCTCCGACACATATGTGTCACGGGCACGCAGGCTCTGAAGGGTTAATGCGCTGAAAAGACGAATGAAAAGTTCCTCACTGCACTGTTGTTGAGCGTTTCGGCACAGCTTTCCGCAGCTGAGGCGAGTGGTTCTGAGTGAGTGCTCATGTGCACTTCATGACTCAAAAATCAGGATGCAACCCAGCTCCTGAAGTTTTGAGGGAGCCGCGTCTCCTCGCTCATGGCAGACATATGCCGCAGACCATCAATGGCTGCCAGTGAAAAGACTCGTTACCCGGTCTCTTCCTGAGGTTCCACGGCCCCTCATTTGCCAGGCGGGAAAGCACAACTAAAGGGCGAGATGACTGTATGAAGTGTATGACAGTTGTGTCTGTCCTGTTGCCCTGATGGGAAACGTTGGGCCGAGGGATCTCGAAAAGACCGATGACGAGATGTGTTGCCATTGTCTGCCAAAGTACTCTGTCAGCTTGAGTTTGAACACTGCGTCGTGTACCGCCTGCCTGTCTGTGCATGTGAGAGGTCATGGTGAAAGTCTCTGAGGTCATGATGAAAGTCCTGTGTTGTGCCTGGCTCGTTCTTTCACAAAACTCACTGTGGTTTCTGTACATCCTTGTACGTGATGTGTGTCAGAGATGCGTACATGTTGTGTGAACGCAGACAGCTAGCTAGCTAGCTGCTCGCGGCAGATTGTGAAGGCGAGGCGAGGTCGGTCGGACTGTGGAACTCTGAGAACCTGACACGAGTGCGTCGCTGTTGGGTTTTGTTGTTATCATGTTAAAAGAAAGATAATAAATAATATTATTATGTGCACTGATTTTGTAATGCTGAAAAAAACACGTTTTGATGCTTTTGAGATGTACAGAATATGTCATAGTACGCACTCCATAGAACTTTGATGTTTTTCCTCTCTCGGTCATATCAGTTGATATCTCAGCACGGACTCGATAGTCTTTGTTTCCACCTGTGTTAAGAAACAGTTTTGCTCAACTCTTTCCTCTCTCTCTCTCTCTCTCCCCCCCCCCCCCCCCCCCCCTGTCCCTTGTTTTCATTCATTCTTTTTTTTTTTTTTTTTTGGTTGCTATTCACGTTGTTATATATGCCGGGCTGTGTATGACTTTAGTTATTATTATTATTATTATTATTCAAATGTTTTGCAGTTGTGGTTTTTTTTTCTTTGCCAACAGTGACATTATGAAGTGAACAATGTATCATAATGTATGCTTTACCACTGCACCTTCTGATTGTGTTTGGTGCTTAGCGATGACGTTGCTTCTTGTTTTTACAGTTGTTACCTTGTTCCGTAATGATCAGCATTTACTTTCGTGTTGTGTCCGTCACTGCTACCCTGATTCCTTTCAGTATTCTTTTTTCTTCTTGATCGTCGTACGCTTCGCAGTCAGAGTTAACAGTTCCTTCCTCTTCATCGCTTTTGTAAGCACCATGTTCAGACTTCGCGGAGATTTCGCGGTACTTCTAGAAAGTTATTTTGGGTTGTTGGGTTTTTTGGGGGGATCCCATTTCTCATTCTTCTAATACGTCGCTTAGGGGGGTCCCATTTCTCATTCTTCTCATACGTCACTATTTCAGTTTTTTGACTGGTTATTTATTGTAGGAGACAGTACTGACACAAGGGCACGCGCGATCGTTGACATCCCCCTACAGCAGAGACGCTGCTGCTTCCGTGGCCGGCCATTAATCAGTGGCGCTGTCATGTTATGTTGTACGGTGCGCTTCAGCGCGGGCTTGTGTTGACACATAATAACCCAGCTGTTGGATTGTGGCGCTCGAGCGTGCTTTGTGGAACTGGCAGCTAATTCATTATGAGAACAGGAGAAATCCGCTTGGACTGTTTTGTCTTGAGAGTTTTGTCTTGAGAGTTTTGCTTATTGTCTTGATAGTTTTGCTTTTTGTCTTTAACCCGAGGGAAGCTGTTTGGAGTTAGCTTTTTCTCTTTTGTTGTTTGTTTGGGGTTTCTTTCCCGGCAATGTGCTGCCCTGCTCGTCGACAATGATCAGTATTACCAGAGACAGGTCCTCGTTTTCCTTTATTTAGCTGGACTCTGATTAACGCTTCTCTTGCGGCCTCATCTTTTCACTGTTGCTTGTCGACGCTTCTTACCTCGCCAAATGAGAGAAGAACTGCTACGTATTTCTGTTATTTTATTTAAAACATTTTTGTCTGGCTGCCTGGTTAGGGAAAAAGAAAGGACTGATTTAAATGGGCAGAGTAGAGTGAGTTTTTGTTGGTTATTGTACCTACTGCAATTGTCTTCAGCTAACTGAAGAGTGCTTTACTATTTGCAAGCAGCTTACTAACTACGGTTTACTAAGATCCTTTTGTACTCCTGTTTACCAGTCACCTAGACGGTGGGACCTCTGTGAGTTTATACACTTGTTTTCTCTGAGCTCCTGGAGAAGTGTTTGTTTGTTTGTTTGTTTGTTTGTTTCTTATCTTCATCTGTTCTCTCAATAATGTATACTGTTGTTGCCTTAGAAGGTTACTATCGCAGATTTTTGCATAATGAGTTTTTTGTACAGTCTGGAAGAATATCTATTACTTTTGATATGCACCCGTCGTTTTGGGAGTGTGTTCAGGTCTAGAGTTGTGTTGTCCGGCCGCGAGTCCTCCTCTTGTTCTGTTCCCTTGTGTTGTTCGTTCCGGCTTAGTGAAGGAACTGTAGATTTGTTCTACGTACAGCTACCGTGGGTCTCTGTCGTGGCCGTGACTTTTGTTAACGCCACAGCTCGTGATGTCGTGGTTAGGCTCCTTGTTTTGGCACGCAGAAGATGGTGGTGGTT